TCAATTCCCAGCTCTGCTGCTCCCTGGCTGGGTGACCTGGGGCAGGCAATTTACCTTTCTGAGCCTCAGTCTCCTTATCGATAGATTGGGTGGGGTCACCCTATTGTGCAGTAGAACTTCAGAACTTATTCTCAATTGTTCAACTACTTTAACAACTTATAATTAATTGATTCCTTTATGTTTTTTAAGTGAGTTTAGTAAACATGACAAAGCTATTGGTTTGTATATGTTCATTTTATTTTGTACTAATTTACTCTAGTTTATCGCACTTCCAATAACTTTTCAATTGATCTGCTCCAACAGGGGGAGGGAGGAAAACGAGGAATTGCTAAAGGGACATGAAAATCGAAATGTATTGATAAATTAAAATAATAAAAAAAGGAACAAAATTTATATCAACCACAAGAAAATAGAAATTTCATTTCTTCATTTCTAAATTGTATGCCAATTTCTCACTTTACATATGAATATATGTAACTACATACTAAAAAAATCTAAAGTTATATACATACACACAGGTATGTATGATTCTATACTTAATACATAAATTTACGTGTATGTATATTTGAGGGTACTACAAAATTTTTTGAAAAAATAGAATTAAAATATAATACTATCCAAAACTTTTCGAAGGAAATTTCTATATATCCTTACATATATTTATTTTACATATATTTTCATCCATATACTTATTATTTTTTCTAATATGTTTCTCATGTTTATTAGTTTTCATACCTACATTCACACTTTATAAAAGCAGAAATACTTTTATGAACCTCTGGTAAGGCCACCATTTAGAAAATGTATATCTGTGTGTGTGTGTGTGTGTGTGTGTGTGTGCGCACGCGTGTGCGCGTATCACAATGTGTAAGTTTTCCTAACTATATAATTAGGTAACGAGAGATAAACGAATGGTCAAACACCACAAGAACTGGCTGAGGAGGTGTGAAGGGGAGAAAGCTCCAGACTTTCACCTCTTTGTGCTCCTGACATTTACAAGCCCCTGACAACCAACCTCTCATCCAAGGACGCTAGACTTTTAGTTCATAAATACATGAAAATGCTCCTGTACAGGGTAAAACTTACAGGGTCTTGTGTCCAAGGCTGAACACAGAGCATACATGAGCTTAATTGTTTCAGACTTAGAGATTCTTTTTCTCACCAATCCTGAGCTCTTACAGATCAGATAAACATTACTCCAAAGTGACTCAGACAAAGGTCTAAATTCAGAGAATACAGAGAGGTGGAAGCATCCCATGAAGAGACCAAAGGAACTCTGCCACAGTAAAAAATAAATAAATAAATAAATAAAAATAAAGGATGTATTAAGGAACTACATAGATGTTTTGTCATGAGAAGTGGAGGAAATGAAAACACAGACCTCAGGGGAAAGACTCAGGTCTCTTCAAGTCCTCACCAACACCCTCCCTTTTGAATTTTCAGAAGCAGCTGATACCTTTAGCCCACCACAAAACAAGTCAGACTCCAAGACTGGTGAGTATGGAGATACTCTCAGTTCTGGGGCTGAACACAGAGGGTCAAGTTCAGTGAAGAGGAGGAGGATGCCTGGGTGAACAGCAAGGGATCCTGGAATGATTTTGATTTTCCCTGACTACCGTGACCTCTTTGTCCACAATTCCTAGCCTCACACCCCCAGGATTACACAGTAGAGAATCTCATCAGGATGAGCATGGCTGGTTTGATCCTGGTGATCCTCGGGATTCTGCTATTTCAGGCTCAACACAGCCACAGAAGCCCCCAAGATGCAGCCACGAGGTAAACATGAGAGAACAATGCACTATGAGAATCGTGGAGGCTTGGAAATACATCTGATGATCCCAGGAGCTTCTGGAAGAAAACTCACAGCATTAATTGGAGAACCATCTGCTGAGAATGTCAAAGGAAGTAAACAAGGTTTTGGTGCAAGAAGATGACTGGGGTGTTGCCTTAGAGGACTTTTCTTCTATTAAACTATGGTAGTTTCCCTCCCTCTCATTGTTGACTTTCCTAGACTGTCCCCTCCCGTTCTCTCTCCTACACAGGAGCCGATGTCCCTTTGGCAGGTCGGGGTCCTCACTTCTGTGACTTCATGCTCTGCTACACTTTCATGCAACACATTTTTCTTAATTTCCAACTACCAGATTCTCTGATATATTTTATATATATATATATAA